TCTCGAACATGAACCTTAAATATATGAAATCTTACTGCATTTAAAAAAATCAATACATAAATATTAATATTATTAATAATTTATTTTAAAAAAAAATAAAATCTTAACATATTATATTTTTGAGCTGCTCACGAGCTTTTCGAGTCGAATATCGATCCGAGTATTTATTGAGCCTTGATCGAATCGATCTCGAATAACTCGCGATCTGTCTCGTCTCATTTACGGCCCTAGTCACAACTTTGAAGCTTCCATTCACTGGAATGCATGTCTAAAAATAATAATTTTGAACCCCTAAAAAAAGGAAATTAAATAAAATGCCGAGATTTCTTTAATTAAATGAACAAAATTCATGTAATTATGTTTGTAGCTTGGGATGATTACGCAACTGCTCAAACTCAAGATTTATGGGAAGAACAATATTCTCTTTTATCATTAAGAGTATTTGATGAGTCAATACTTAATTGTTTTTTAATCTCATTAAAACTAAACTTACCACATTGATAAATAACTGGTTTAGCCCGATAAAATATTAGATTATTTGAATAAGATTAAATATTCAAATATTGACGTTATGAATAAAATAAATTAAATTAAAAAAACTATCTTACAATATATCTTTAGAATAAACAATTCGTATTTATCAGTTTAATAGATCAAATACTAATAATTAATCTAAAACGCTAAACTTATCACAAATCTGAATAAATCCTTCATCTCTCTAACGTTAAATGCTAGAGAAGTAACAATGCAATATGTTTTTATTTTAGATGTTTATTCTATTAAATTGGATGGTAGTTATTCAAAACTATAAGATATACATGAGAAAATTCTCAACCCATTACATTTAGGTTTTATGTCTTAGCCTCAAATTTTCAATTTATAGATTAATAAAATGAATCAAATTGAAAAAAAGAAAAGAAAAAAAAAGCTAATATTTTGTAGGTTAGTGAAATATTTCATATATATATAAATAAAAATTCAAAGGTTTGAGAGAAAATAGCCAAAATAATTCCTCCAATGAAATATTGAGAAAAATAAATTAGTATTTTGTAAGAAAACGACGGGTGTCACATTTGCTCTTACGGTGTCCAAAATGTGGAGCCAAGAGATTTGTTTTTATATTAATATAGAGTAAGTACAATGTAATATTTTTTTTCAAATATAACTAACAATTATTTGACATTAAAAGCTCATATTCTAATATTTTTAGTACTCAAACTCGAGATCATAAGTAACAACAACAATCATTTACCACCAAGGTCATTTGGTATTCTTTGAAAACCGAATTAAAATTTATAAAAATATTAAGAGACTAAATGTTAATTTTTCAATTAGTTGGGGCTAAAAGCCTCTTCTAATTCCCATTATCATCCAGTGAGATAACCTTTCAGGCTCTTATAAAACTATTCTACTAAATTGGATGGTAGTTATTCAAAACTATAGGATATACATATGAGAAAATTCTCAACCATTGCATTTAGGTTTTACGTCTTAGCCTCAAATTTCCAATCTACGGGTTAAGGGAAGAAATCAAATACACAAAAAGAAAAAGGGGCAATGTTTTGTAAGTTAGTGGATTGAGAGGGTCATGTAGCCCTTAAAGCTCCTATAAATGCCCTTTCCTACCTTTGGTAACGAACCATAAACCCATAATTTCTTTTATCCACTATACATACGTTATTGCACCAACGCAATAACACTAGCTTATACCATACTACATTACTAACCAGCAATGGCTTCCTCAATGATCTCATCGGCAACCATTGCCACTGTCAACCGCTCCTCCCCAGCTCAGGCCAACATGGTCGCCCCCTTCACCGGCCTCAAATCCTCCTCTGCTTTCCCCGGCACCAGGAAGGCCAACAAGGACATCACTTCCATTGCAAGCAACGGTGGCAGAGTGCAATGCATGCAGGTACTTGGTCATTAGCTTGTGTTCCAACATAAATTACTTGAATCGAATGGAATCGATTTTTTTTTTGAGTACAGGTGTGGCCTCCGCTTGGGAAGAAGAAGTTCGAGACTCTCTCATACCTCCCCGATCTCACAACCGAAGAATTGGCTAAGGAAATCGACTACCTTCTCCGTTCTAAATGGATTCCTTGCTTGGAATTCGAATTAGAGGTGTTTTCGAACACTAAACTCTCTATAAACTATTCCATTGCATCAACTATCTGCATCACTTCCAATGGGAGTTTCCTTTTAGGTTCGCCTTTAACTGCGTTCGTCTTTGTTTATGTTGTGATATGTGCAGCATGGATTCCCGTACCGTGAGAACCACAGGTCGCCAGGGTACTACGACGGACGCTACTGGACCATGTGGAAGCTCCCCATGTTCGGGTGCACAAATTCATCCCAGGTCCTGACTGAGCTGGAAGAGTGCAAGAAGGAATACCCCAACTCTTTCGTTAGAATCATCGGATTCGACAACGTCCGTCAAGTGCAGTGCATCAGTTTCATCGCCCACAAGCCCAAGGGCTTCTAATTAAGCTGTTGACGTCCGAGTTCCTTCCCTCGTAGGGAATGCCATTTGTTTTTAAAGTTGTACTTATTTCACTTCCTGTTTGTCATTTTCTTTGAGACATTGGCTCTGGGTTCTTTGTTTCGTTTTCGTATTTCCGATTGAATGGCATGAGAACTAATATGGATGAAATGCAGTTTGTTGCCTAATTTCATGAAATGAAGGTCTTTCTCCATTTCAAATACTTTGAAATTCATGATAAAAATAAGTTTAAAAAAACACTACACAAATAAATTGGGTCTGGGTGGTGTTGGTTTCAAGTAAGATGATAAAAATTTCTATACTTCTATACACTAACTTTTAAAATTATGAATCTAAACATACATAATTAATTATGAAGAACATGATTTGTATGCATTGGTTTGGTGAAGAAAAATTAATAAAAAAAGCTTAATGATCTGATTAACATAAAATGTTGAATAAACACTAACGCTAATGTAGGTATTCTGTACTAAGGGTCCGTATGTTTCACTAAAAACGTTTTCCGTAAAATGAATTACATTTTCTGGAAACCGTTTTACTATGTTTGTAATATGTTGTTTAAACGCTTTTTTCACTAGTTGATGAATTTTTTAAAAATTATTTATTACAAATATTAAATACAATAAATAATATTATTTATCATAAAACTTAATATTATTATTTTTAAAATATTAAAATAATTTATTTATTATTAAAATATTATTTTTATAATTTTATTAATAAAAATATTAATATTGGTATATTTTATTGAAATAAAAATATTATAAATTATATTAATTATTTATTAAAGTAATAGAGTTATATTATATTTTAAAAATATTAATTAGTATATTTTAAATATCTTTATTAAAATATTATTAGATTATTATATTAATATTAAATATGTAAATAATATTATTTATTATTAATAATTTAATAATATTATTTCTATGAAATTAATAAATAATATAAATTTTATTAATAATTTATTATATATATCATTAAAATAAAAATATATTATATTATATTATATTATTATAATATAACTGATTGTTTTATTATAATATTAAAAATATAATATTATATTATTAGAAATATTAATAATAAATATATTTTAAATATTTTAATAATTAATATTTTGATTAAAATGATATTAAAATATTTTATTAATATTAAATTCATAAAATAAAATAAAATTATTTTGAATATTTATTCTTTGAAGTGAAAAGTTCGGAAAACGACTTACGGAAAATCAAATCCTAAGTCATTTTCCAGAAAACACAAAGGAAATTATGTTGATTAAGAAAATGTTTTACGTTGACCAACTAATTTTTCTCCAACCAAATATGAAAAATGAGGAAAATATTTTTCTGAAAAACGTTTTACGTGAAATAAATGGACCTTAAAATTCAATCATTTCAAGTTTTTTAAATTTTTTTCTAATGGATGATAATCAGTGGACTATATTTTCCGTTTATATTTTTCTATTTCAAAATAAGGAAAGCTACGTTTATGGAGGAGCCAAAATAAAGATAGAAATTTTGATAAGAATTGCCTCCTCCTCCTCTTTCACTGTCACAGCTCAGAATGTCCATTCACTCCAATTCATCTCTAAAAATTTAATTTCAAAAACTGCGACCTACCGACACTGATATTTTTTTCTTTTGTTAAGAATTTGGCTTTATTGGTACCTTTATTATATTTTCTTGATAGAATGAATTAATTTTATTCAAAATAATAAATATCTTAAATTACAATCGTAAAATAAACATATAATTAAGAAAATTTCTTATAATCATTTAAAAAGATGATATTTGAGGGAGAACAAACAATTTAGAAGAACAAAGATTAAAATGATAAATTTTTTAAATATAAAGAGTTAAATTTATGGAATTATTTTAGATTAGGACCAAAATAATAAACTATACAAGTTTTAAGGATTAAAACTGCTATTAGTCAAACGATCTATGGGGAAAAAAGAAGTGATTCCCATAATTAAGTGACAATGGATGTAATTTACCATGATTTAAGTTCGGTTTCCAAATAGGAGAAAACGAATCCTTCTTTTGGTCTCTGTATTTTCAAGGAAATGCTCACCTGCTAAATATTTAATATACGGTTAAAAAAAGTATTATCGGTTTTATTTTATTATTGTTTAAATAATAAAATTGATAAAAAATGAAAATATTATTAGGTGCTGTTGATTTTATTATTATTGAATTTTTTACCGGATTTGATAAAAATGACCAGAAATATTATTAGGCACTACCGATTTTATTATTATTAGTTACTTTTATCGAAAATGTTCAAAAAATTAATATTTTAAGTAATAATAATAATATTTTAGATAATTTTTTATCTATTTTATTATTTAAACAATAATAAAATGGATATCACTTTATTTTAACATTATATTAAGGTGCCGCGCGATATAACTTCCGGTATTTTTAATATTGAATTTATTGGAGTAATTCAGAGGATGATGAACAATCTCTCAATACATACAATACAACTCCAAATCTATGTACCATGTAATCAGATCCCTGTAAACAAAACCCAATCAAGAAACCCAGAAAACCAACCTGATATTCAAGCCCCCTTTTATTACCAAAAGGAATTCTAGAACTGCCGATACCTCAAAATAGTATTACTAGCACCGGCGAAACCTCGGCCATTAGTCTTCCCTCCCCTGTTTTCACCATTAATAGCATTGGCTGCAGCTAATGAAATCCCTTTCAAATCTTCGACGGATGCAAAACTCTTTTTCATCATCGTCATCCTCCCTTTTTTCTCCCCCGCATTTGCAGATTTACTCCCCCTCGAATTCGACGACCACCCCTCATTCCCTTTCGACCAATTCTTCCCCGTCGGCGGCGGCGTCAACTCAATCCCCGGGGGCCTTCGATTTTCTTTCCTTAAAGTCGCTGAAAAATCGGGCACCGATTGAGCCACCAAAGAAGAAGACCCTTTCCTGGAAATCCCCACGCTCGAACCGAACTTCACTTGTTTCTTCGTTGGTGTTTGTTTGATTTCGACTTGTTCCTTTTCTCGTTGCATCATCCTCAGCTTTGTTTCTCTCAACTCTGCGTATGCTCCGTACCTGGGGCCCCTTTCCATTACAGAACTCTCTGTTGTTAGCCTTAAAGGAAATGGGCTGGTGGGGCTTGAATTCTGAGAAAGAATAAGAGAAATTGGGTCAAGAACTTGAAAAAAATCTGGGTTTGGCTGACATTCACTTGTCTCTTCCATTTTTAATGGAACTTGAAGAAGGTTTACTCTGTTTTGTGCTCTGTTCTGATGAGCAAAGAAGAGGGAATTGATTAAAGAAAAGAGTAAGATTAATGGGATATATTATAATACGTTGTGTGCTTTGGATTCGGCATTAAAAGTTGCAACGGTCTAATTGAAGGAGATAGTCTTTTGCTTTAATTATTATCGAGTTCATACATGTTTCCAACGTTCTTATTTTGAAGTGGGTCCTGATTTATTCATAATGTTTGGGGAATCACTTCGCTTTAAAGGATTTATTCATCAAATTCAATCGATTAGTTGACTTAATTATTTTGATTAAAATAATACTAACAACCAGTTGATCTATTGGGATGAGGCACTAGATCCCTCAATTAAGGTCAGGGGTTCTAATCCTGACATTTGCGAATGGAGCAAATCTGGTTTGGGAGAGTCACCTCACCTCTGTAATACCCGATCTAGATTAGTTGATCAATAGATCTAAATACCAATAATTAATTCAAAAAAATTAATAAATAATATTCGACATAAATAATCATTTTAATTATCATTTTTTTATAACGTTGTCGGTTTTGATAGTTTAAGAATTCTTGTAATAGAACAAAATTTTTAAGCACCTAAATGTGAATCGAATATAGTTTAGGAGTCAACTTATTAATTAACCATGTACGTTTGAACTTAAATGGCGGGGAAGATAAAAGGTATGGAATATAGGCTCTTTCCAATTCTTTCCACTCTTATAGGTCAAAAAGCTAATGGACATGTCTCCTACAAAAAGACTTCAACACTATTTTCCGACAAATCCTTTGTAATCGAGTTCCGACTCGCCGGAACTCGTGAATATCTATTTCCATTACACAGATTCCGAAGATTTGCCGGAAACGAAAAGTGAACAGACGCCTGCTAAACTGTTAAAACCTTTGTCATAGAAAAGGCTGATTAAATATGTTTATACATCCTAGCCATGTCATCCATGGCTAGGTAACATACATGTAATGTAGTGTAATGAAATGGTTGATATGGATATGGTCAAACTTTGTGATGCTTGTACTTCTGCCCTAAATTGAATCTTGTGATCTTTTGGCTGAACCCACCCAGCACCAGTGTCCTCAATGCCTCGACTCCTTGCTCCAGCGCCTCATCGATCTGTCGAAATACCCCATTAACACACTTTGTTTTCATCTCTCAAACTACCCTGTGTTACTAGGACTCTTCATTTAGTCTGGAGTATCCATGTCCGAAGCAAACGTTACCTGATTCCGCTCCACAGGACTGAACTTTTGTAGAAGATAAGCTTTTATGTCCATAGCACCAGGTGAATTTCCAATGCCTGTACCATAAATAGCTCTTTTAGAATCACCATATCATAAGAATGTGCGCTTATGTTGCAAATGTTTCACGGTTAAGCAAAAGTCCATGTGATTCGAGGAGCCCACCTATGCATAACCGAGGAAACTCACGACTTCCATCCAAATGGCCCATCACACTCTTCACTCTGCAACAAGAAAGCATAAGTCAATGTTTTCAAATCGCTAATGAATCTTAAGTAATCCAGCTTCGTGCAAACGGAGAGTCGGAGACTAAGAGATTATGCTACTAGTAATATCGATGGAACATACCCATTATGATGGCCATGTCCTCCTTTCGGCTGAAGCCTCAAAACACCATTCGGCAAGCTCATCTCATCATATACCTACATTGGAAAGCTCAAAGTCAAAGTGCCCAACACAGAAAACAGAAATAACAAAAATTTCGGTTAAAAGAGTGCATACCAACAAAATGTGGCGCAGGGGAACTTGATAATAGGCAGCAAGAGGCCCGACCTTAACGAAAACAAAAAGTTTGGAACCGTTAAGAGATTAAAATGGCTATAAATGATTCAGCAAAATGATATTTAAAATATAACGAAAAGGATACGAGATAAGAAATGTATACAAGATGAAAAGGTCAAACCAACGAGCCCTAATGGCCAATGAACTACACAAACATTAAACACCCTATGCTGTAGGTGTCCAGTTACATGCTAGTTGCAAATGCATCCACATGTGAGAAGGGACATGTGAATGCATAACTGAGAGCCTGCTATGTAGAATCGAGATGGGAAAAGGGACAAATAAAATGTAAGACTGACTTATTCCCCACTGAAATTCATGTATGCCTGAGGTTTTGCCAACAAAATTGGCACTTCTCCAATGGCACCTGTAGTGATCAGAAAAGAAATCTGCATAAACCATCAAACATAACCGAGAATCACGAAAGACCTAAGCAACGGAAATACAAAATGTATACCTATTCCAATTAGAGCTTTTGACTGTATAGTATTCAACAGAATCCTTCCGATCGAGAAATTTGATCAATCATTTCGAAACCAACTTGATATATAGAACAACGTAAATACCATATAAACCACAAGAAAAATATGCTCTCAGCTCCATAATTTGTAAACTATTACATTGTGCCGAGTTCCATGGTATTAGGCTTAGTTTGTTTTAACTGTGCAACCTCTTCAAATCTCTTATGTTTGTGCCGCGCAGACCACGCGCAGACCGTTTGATTTTTAGAAGACAGAAGCTCTTCTAATGTCTGCGCGAGCTCTTCTTGGTGCAGACATGGTTTTATGTCTTCAAAGGTCTTCAAACCTCTTCAAGAACAATTATAAAATATGATTATTTATTAAAATAATTTTAAATAATTTAATAAAGTTATTTATTTTAAAATAATTTATTATAAAATATGAATTGATTTATTTTAAAATAATTTATTATAAAATATGGATTTATTTATTTTAAAATAATATATTTTAATTAATTTATTAGTATAGATTGATTTATTTTAAAATATAGATTGATTTATTTTAAATAATTTATTAGTGTCACACGGTGGACAATTCATAATTCGGAGGTCTCCCACGGAAGCTGCTCTCAACCTGATGTTGGGGGTAGCCTACTATCATACCTTCCCCTTACCCCATTCCCATTACATATGGGAATAAGGGTCAACTAATAAAAATTTTGATTTATTTTAAAATATGGATTGATTTATTATTGTAGTTGTATGGATTGATTTATTTTAAATAATTTATTAGTATGAATTGATTTATTTTAAAATATGGATTGATTTATTTTAAATAATGTATTTGTATGGATTGATTGATTTATTTTAAAATATGGATTGGTTTATTATTGTAGTTGTATGGATTGATTTATTTTAAATAATTTATTAGTATGAATTAATTTATTTTAAAATATGGATTGATTTATTTTAAATAATTTATTAGTATGGATTGATTTATTTTAAAATATAGATCGATTTATTTTAAATAATTTATCAGTATGGATTGATTTATTTTAAATAATTTATTAGTATGGATTGATTTATTTTAAAATATAGATTGATTTATTTTAAATAATTTATTAGTTTGGATTGATTTATTTTAAAATATAGATTGATTTATTTTAAATAATTTATTAGTATGGATTGATTTATTTTAAAATATGGATTGATTTATTATTGTAGTTGTATGGATTGATTTATTTTAAATAATGTATTAGTATAGATTGATTTATTTTAAAATATGGATTGATTTATTTTAAATAATTTATTATTGTAGTTGTATGAATTATTTAAATTTCAGTATTGTAAAACTAAAATTATTTAAATCTCAGTATTACAAAACTCTTTTAAGTTTAAAAAATCAATTTATTTATATTTCAGTTCATTTTAGCAGTCTGCAGACGTTAAAAAACAAACAATTTTCTTCTTGCAGACTGCAGATTTTTAGTCAACCTCTTCTGCTGCAGATGTCTACAGATATAGTCCGCAAACTGTAGACTTTTTACCTCTGCAAAAACAAACACCACCTTAATTCCTGGTTACCCAATCCAACCATCAACCAGGGTGTATACTCCACTTTAAATCCGCCATTATTATCCGGCAAAGAAGCTCGCACACAAAGTCTTCTTGATCCTCGATTCCTTTGACCCAAACACCAGCTTCTCGGATACGAAGTGCAAGTGTTTGGAACAGAGATTGCATGCAACATTGACCTAGAACAAACGTAGCAGAATATATTTACTCATAATAAAATAAAGAAGAGCGTGTGGGGACTCTGTCACCTATAGTTCCTTTATGTAAAAGACTCAGTTTTTTAGTGTAATTTTCTCTTAAGAGAATAATTTAAGAAAGGAGAACTTACAAAATTCAGTTTTTTGAAACATTTCATTCAGATTTCTACATAATTTCCTATCCATGGCCAACTTAAGCTAGAACCCACAATTTAGATTGAGCAGTTACTACTACGGAATAGAAAATACAGTGAAACGTAAGCAAAGAGACATGAGATACCCAGGAAAAAAAGGAGGATACTTTAGAGTAACTAAGATAGACTTACAGCAACTTAAATTAAGGGATTCACCTGTTTCACTTTGGATGCTTCAATTCAATAAGGGTACACAAGAATGGGGAAGGAAGTTGAAGCTTTGTTTTAGAATTGGTGGTTTGGATGATTTTCCAGTTATTAAGCACCAATCGCTGGGCTTCTAGACGAAGTTGGGCTTAACCCTTTTAAGTCTCTTTAGAAGAAGCTTTGATTGCATCAAAGAAGACGACAACAGAAGTGATTGTGCCAAAAGAAAGACACTGTCAAATAGGTTGGTTGAGTTTGTTTCGGGTTGGATTATTTCAAATCTTAAATTTGTTAGGTCTTTTTTGAGTTAGAACTGTTTCAAGATTAAGTCTTTTCTTTTCAACTTGGCATGAAATGATATCAGGTTTACGAGAAATGCAAAATTAAAGATTTCAATATCAATGGCAGAAACCACCAGAATACTTTTTCACTTGTTTTCTTAAAATATAGACAGAAAAATCATATTTATAACAAAAATCTGACGACTTATGCCGGACCCTGAAGTAACATTACAAATAGACAAGTACAATTACCTCCCCAACTGGACTGGGACTATGGAATACATCCGCATATCCTTTTTATTCGAGTTGTAAACTCATCACCAAACTAAGCCCTTTTTCCTCCTAAATCTGTCGACACGATCGGTGCTCATCCGAGACTTCTCGAGTCGGCTATCCAAACTGTTTCTCGAAACTTCTGGAAGGTCAGCGCTCAATTCGAAAGTGTCGGAAGTCCCACCCTTGGATGGTTTGATCTGATTCTCAGGGTATACCACTATTTTTTCAGAACCATTTGCAGCAGCAGCTGATGCTTTTGATTTGTTCAAAGATAGTACAAATTTCTTCAGATGTGTAATGAATCCTGGGTAGATCTCCAGATTGCAATGTCCTCCTCCATTTACCCACAGAGGCTCGTACTTATTCTTGCAAAGCTTCCGTGGGAGTGATGAACAACTTCGTCTGCTGTTCCCTGCCAACAGAAAAAAATGAGCTTCGCCACTACTTTTTTGGTCCCTGAACTTGACAACTTTACCCAACTTGGTCCCTGAACATTTTCGTGTCCACATTGGTCATTGAACTTGGATTTTTGACCCATTCTTAGTCCTTCTAATGAGGTGGCAGAATGCGAGTTTGCCATGTGGTACAACCTCAGAATGTTACATCATCAAAAGAACTAAAATGGAAAATCTGTCAAGTTCATGAATTAACATGGACCGAAACAAAGTTCAAGGACTGAGTTGGGAGACTGAAAGTTGCTTTAGCTCATTATAGTAATAACAATAAGAACAACACTTACATGAATTACCAAGACTTGACAGTTCACTGCTCCAATTTTGTCAATATTCTGAAAATTAGAATGGTAAAAAACCAAATAATGAAGGTCCGCAACATACAAGATAAAAAACCAAGAAAATAGAAATAGGGGTAAATAAGAGAGACTTACCTTATAAATGTCAAACCAGTAGGTCCTTTTGACTGGGCACAATACTCTCATGCCAGACAAAATCGGGCTATGTAGAACCACGCCTCTCAAGTTTGCCAAGCGAGAAGCAAGATCAACGGTAGGTCCACTACCAACAGACTGTCCATATAATATTAAATCTTCATCTTTGACTCCATACCGTCCCTTAAGGCACGTGTATGCTGCATCTATGTCTGCATATGTATTACACTCAGTCGGCTGTTTCAAATAAAAATAAGCGACAATTAGAATATGTGTTTCCATCAAGCAGCATTAATATCTTCATAATTTACAGACAAGAAATCAGAAATAATATGGCTGCAAAGAAAATTAGGACAAAAGTTGTTGCAATTACAAACCAAAGGAAGCGAACAGCATCAACAATATCCATGTTGTGTGTTGCAGAACGGCTCTCTTTTGTGGCACCTTCCACTAGAAGCTTTCTCAAGTAATCAGCTAGTTCTTGATGCTTACCAGGAGATCCTAGAACACCCGCCAAGAGAAGCGGCAGGATGCCTAGAATAGTAAGTCTCTCAGCCACAGCTGTTCTTGGTCTCAAACCTGCAACCAAGAAACAATTAAAGAACATGCAATGATTAAGGTTAACAAGATTCAATGGATCCAGTACCTTTGATTCTTGAATGAACGTTGGGAGGGAAGAACTTCAAATCAGCTTGACCCCCAACTGCTACCAAGAATAGAGGTAGCATTATGTGGGTCAAATAAGAATCTCCAAAACATTCAGAAACGGTCAACAAAAACTGCAATGTAGTGATATAGATTGGAAACAAGAACAAAGACATTATTTTCAATAAACAAGCAATGGAAAGTAGAAGGTCCCATTAAAAATGCATTACTGACAAAATACCTGTGTAATTCGGTTTCTTAATTTATCTTCTTTCTGGGGTAAGAAGCAAGCCAGCAGTAGCAAACAAGAAAAGCAATCGACATTCACCCATTCAAATGCAGGCCATTCAACATGTCCCCTAGTAGAATATTAAGATCTATGAACATCAAATCTGCTCATTACTAAGCCATAAAATATCATTCATATACTCATCCAAAAGTCAGATATGATAGGAAACGCAAGCCTGGTAAAAATAACAAAGAGAGAGCAAGCGTTTACCCTGCATATAGTTCAAGTACCGAGCTAGAAAATATTGTCCCATTAGACTCCGAAACAGAGGAAAATGGGCAAGTCTCAATTGCTTTTTGATGAACAAAAGGAAGCAACTCAGCCAGCATTCTTAACAAAACATCAAGATTCCAGCGCTCTTGTTCACCTAAAACTAGAAGGTGAGACTCCACAGACCCTTCAACACCAGAAAGAGGTGGGCAACGCTGAAAATTTAGGAGGAACGATCTTGAAACATAGAGGCACTGCAAACTTGAAATGTGCTGGTATCGGCTGGTAAATCATAAATGAGATTTAAAATGGCAAAATGTTACCTGAGCAGAGCCTAAGATATGGGAGTGCAGAACTCTCAAAACATGGTCTAACTTGTTACCCCAATTTATTATTGCAGGAAGTAGTTCTTTTAGTGTTGTTTCAACCACCACTCCAGATGGGCAAAACTCACGATATAATACTTTCAAAATAAATAATTCACGAGATAATACACTCCCCATATTATTTACTGAAATAGGGTGAAATCTACAGTGTTGGCCGTAGGTCGTCATGCCTTCCGGACGATCTACTACGTCGCCATGCCTTCCGGGCGACCTACTACGTCGCCATGGCTTCCTGGCGAGCTGCACAGAGATAATGGATGTTTTAACATCTGCATGTGCCATGCACGTCCCCAACACATGGCCAACACAGGTCACCATGCACTCCCAGCGACATTGTAGGTCGCCATGCACTCCCAACGACCTTGTAGGTCGCCATGCACTCCCAGCGACCTTGTAGGTCGCCATGCACGCCCAACGAGCTATCCATGGAGCACCAAGGAGTGAGTGCGAGCTATCCAGGGAGCAGTGCATGGCCATGCACGTCGAATTTTCTTTGTGTAGGTCACTAAGCAGTCCCGGCGACATGGTAGGTAGCCATGCACGCCCGGCGACCAAGCTGGCGACCAAACTTAACCCTGCTCCCTCGTGCATGCGTTGCATCCATAGTTGGGAGATTCCTGCATCCATAGCTGGGAGATTGTAGCCAAGCTTTAACCCTCTGTTCCCTCATGCATGTGTTGCATCCATAGCTGCATTATTGCAGCGTTAATTTAGCTGCTAAATACAACAAATATTGCTGTTGAATTGCAGCCTTTCAACGCTCAATAGTTACACGATTCAATGCTCAATATTATTTGTTTCAACAGTCAAATTTAATGACATTCTCCAACCCTCATTTTCTTTATATAGAGGATATGGGGGTTTAGGGTAAAAGCAGAAGTAGAAGCAGCATATATAAAAACTTTACCGAGAGAAAGAAAAGGAAGAAGAAGAAAAGAAGATAAAGGCTTAAACATTCTTTTTTGAGGTAATTTTTTATTGTTTAATTCAGTTTATTATATGAAATTATTAGTTTGTTAGCTTAGGGTTTAGGGTAAAACTAAAATTTAATTAATTAGTTTGTTAGTATAAATTATTAGTTTGTTAGTTTAAGTTATATTATATTAGTTTGTTATTTTAAGTTATATATTATATTATATAAAAAATTAGTGAATTAGTTTATTAGTTTAAGTTATTAAATATAAAAAAATTAATTAATTTGTTAGTATCTTTAAACGTATATTAGGTTGTTTGTTGAAGTTATATTATAAAAAAAATTAATTAGTGCTTAATTAGTTTGTTAGTTTAACTACGTTATATTATAATAAAGAAATAATTTATTAGTTTAAGTTATATTAGAATATATTAGATTATATAAAATTAAATTGTTTAATTTATTGTTGTTTAAAGAAATATTTTGTTTACACATACAAGACATTATTCCACAACATTTGCCTATGTACAGATTGATTCGAAGAAAGAAACAAGAAAGGAAAAGAAAAGAAAGGAAGAAGACACAAATACGCGGGTAATTTATTATTTTTTTGTCCATTTTAGTTGTTCTGTATGTGTAAAATAGTTAGTTAGTAAGTTTATATTAGATAATTTGTGCGAGATAATTTCCGTTTAAAAAAATATTGTGTTTAAAAATATTTAGTTTTTTTTAAAAAATATTTTGTTTAATTTAAATTATATGTGTAAATTAGTAAGGAGTAAAAATTAATTGAATGAAATAATCCAGCCATCGATTATCTCGTGAAATAATTCTTTCGAGAATATTATCTCGACAGTTTTACCTAACAAATGTGTTTGATATTTTAAAAAAATAAAAAATATTATCAAACTAATATTATTATTATTAGTAATCATTATTAAGTGATTAGTATCAAATATAAATCATTAAATATTTATAATAAATAATTATTAGTAATCATGACTAAATCATATTATTATTAAATCATTAAATATCAAATCATTAGATTAATAATAATTATTAAATCATTATTAGTAATATTAGTAATCAAACAATCAAGTTAAATAACAAATTTTATTTGATCGTTAATATAATAGTATATTATATTATATTTAATTATTTAATGATTTATGTAATTATCTTATATAATTTTTTAATCTAAATTTATTGATTTTTTTATTTGTAGAGAAAATGAGCAACAACTTTTTCACGATTGTCTATTATAATGGACAGATTATGGAAAATGAGGTCTGAGTAGTTTTTCAGTCTGAAAAACCAATAAATATGATGTTAAAAAAAGACATCACATTTATAGAAATGAAGCATAAGATAGAAAGAAAAATTTGAGCTGTAGTTGATGGTTTGAGGTATAGGTTTATGATATGCCTCAACCCAGTCAGATATGTTGCAGTTCCACTCGAAGAAGATGATGATATTGGAACCATGGTTGGATTACATGAGTCAACCAATATAACAGTTATTGAGTTATTTGTTGATGTGCGTAACATATGTGATGTTCCTGGGTCATCAAGAGGTGTGGCTCAAAATCCATCTGAAATGACTTTATATAGTCAGTTTGAGGAGCCGACATACAGGTTTCCGAACAGTTTTATGGCACTATTGGAAAGTGTAAATGAAGTCGGAGGGACATCTGTAACAGCAGAGTATGAGACGAGAAGCATACCAGACAGATCCTGAATGAATCATATTGGCCCAAAAAAAGATCATGATGAATGGCTGTCAAATCCAATGCTTCACAGAAGTCCAAAGGGTCGACCTGAGTCCACTCGTATTCATACCAGTATGGATTTCCATGCTAGAGAGAGGTCAAGCAAAGAGATGCGGATTATGTAGGGGTGAAGGCCATTCAAAAAATAATTGTCCTAATTTATCAAGATATATGCCTCATCATTAGTAATCATATATGTATTTCTATGTATTTATCCGGATTTAATTTTGTAATGATTTATAATTCGAGGACTTGAACAAATTTGAATGGACGTGTGGTTCAATTAACGCCATTTTCGTTACATAACTAATACTGAACACTTGTTTGATTTGTAATAATGATATGATTTGATTTAGTAATGATTTACTAATCATTATTTAATAATGAATTTATATTTAAAATTATAATAATTATTTAGTAATAATGCAATTATTATTAATAATATTTAATGATTTGATAGTAATGATTAGTAATAATGAAATTATTATTAATATTTAATGATTTGGTAGTAATGATTAATAATAATGAAATTATTATTAATATTTAATGATTTGATAGTAATGATTAATAATAATTTAATAATTAATCATAAGAATGATTTAATATTGATTTTAATATTTAATGATTTGATGATTTAGTAATGATTTTTATTATTTGATGATTTGATGATTTAGTAATGATTTTAATATTATGATTTAATAATGATTTAGTAATAATCATTATAATAATGATTTAATAATGACTTTAATATTTAATGATTTGATGATTTAGTAATGATTTTATAATAATCATTATAATAATGATTTAATAATAATGATAATAATAATTTAATAATAATCATTATAATAATGATTTAATAGTAATGATTTAATAATGATTTAGTAATGATTTAATAATTATTACTAATAATTATGGAATAATAACAAATGAGTGTATTAGTGTGGACTACTCGAATTTAAATTAATACATAGTCGAATTTATTAATGATTTTTACATATTTAATTATTTGATACTAATGATTTACTAATTATTATTAATAATGATTTATTATTAATATTTAATTATTTGATATTAATGATTTACTAATGATTACTAGTAATGAAATTATAATAATGATTTGATACTAAAAATCATTGTTAAGGTTAAAAAAAAACTAGTCTAATTTCAATATATAATTTGTAACAAATAGCAAACGAGTTTACAATTGTTGTCGATGTCGGGGTGTTGTTGAATGATAATGTCAGGGCGGACGACTGATATGTTGTGGTCGTTGCGGTTGCTCAGGAGTATGGTACTCATCCTCCACATTCATTGGGGGTATTTGAACTGTCATATGTTCAAAGTCATACGTCGACGAAAACATGGGAGAGTAGATGGGTGCCTCAGGCTGCACAAACTCTGGTATGTATGCCGAGACAGTAGAATCATCAACTGCGTGATGCAACGATCCCGCATCGTTGAACGGTTGTGGTGCGCTATTATTCACATCGGTCATTTCCTCTTCAGGTTGTTGAGATGAACTCCCACTCCCACTCGGTAGAGAGTATTCAGCTTTACCAAATCTTTTCTTAAACCTCAAAAATTATCGCCTCTCTACCATTGTTGTCAGGAACGGCTTTCCATTATCCCAAAAATAAGCAAGGTAAGCCGATGTCTCAAAATTAAAGTCGATGTCTTGAATGTCGTCAAGATTTGGCATGAATGAAGCCCTATTTTTCCAAGTATTAATGTAGGTTGCATGCTTCTCAACCCAATTAACATTTTCTTTACGATGACCATCAAATATGTGCAGGTCGTCATGCGTCTCAACCCAATTCACCTGACGACGACCATCTAAGTTTTGGAGGAGGTCATGATCCCATGGACTCCGCAGAATAGGTTGGTGGAAGTGGAATTGCCTCAACACTCTATCCCCAAATTGAATCTCAACAAAAACAAAATTGATCAATGGTGTAACATCACACTAATATTGAAACCCATCTAAAATATCGTGCGATATCAACGCAAGTATTTCTTCATTCATGTATGGTCTCCAATTAAACTGTAAAATTACAAAAATAATAAAATTTATTTAAATCAAATAATATAGTTAATTTAAATAATAATTAAAAATAACATATTATACATATCTCCTTTTTGGCCTTAATATCGATCTTCAGCCTGAACTCTTTAATGTTATTGTGCACCAACCTCGTGCCTTCAATTTTATAGCTCCATCTGTATATCAATCAAAACAAAAATATGGCCATTTTGTTCAATAATTTTAATCAAAATAAACATTTTATAATTAATATTTTAGATTAAAATAGAGGATCCATATTACATTCCGGCAAGTGGAAAGTCAACCGCAGTCCGACTAATCGGTGTCAAAAACGGAACTCTATGCCAAGCCCATGATTGTAGCAGCAACAGACATCCACCGATTTTTGCTGTATTATTATCATTCACGACTAATGACGCCTTGCACATCTCACGATACAAGAACGCTAATATCGCCGATTCCCAGCTATATTGCCTACTATGCTCAAAATTTCTTAAAAAAAAGAAGATACTGAGTGTGAACATAACTACCAGATTTATCAGGCATTAAAATTCCCCCAATCAACTATAATATTTATGCTCGTGTTGCATATATAATTTCGTGCTCCGTACTATTTAGTTGAAGCTGAAATTCATTCTTCAACCATGACAATCTCACACGCCACCCTCTACACTCTGGTGGTACGGGCGCTTTCCCAAGAAACAAGCTGCAAAGTTGTGCCACATTATTAAACTCATGTGACATTACCACCGGCATCCCATTTGTTTGGACCCCGAGTTGCATTGTCACATCCTCCAAAGTTATCGTACATTCGCCACACGGCAAATGAAACGTGTGCGTTTCTGGTCTCCATTGTTCAATCAACGCACTGATCAAACCTGGGACCAACTTGTAATCTCGCACAAATGTTACATACCAAAATCCATCCTCTTGCAAGTTTTCTTCAATCAATGGGTGTGGCTTGGGCACTTTATGTAACCGAAGACGAAGGACTCGCTGCTCGTCCTCCTGCAATTAAATATTTCAAAAAGTTTATCACAATCATAAAATAATATTCAAATATTTATTAATTATAATTCATTAAACAAATATTTTATTCACCATTATTCCCAAATGACTTGAAATATGTTCATTGTCAAGTCTCAGCAGTGGAATTTGATCAACCATTGGAATGAATCTATAAAAAAATTAAACAACTATATTTAAAAAATCATTTAATATAATCTAATATAAACTAACTAACTAACTAATTTACAACACAACAAAAAAATTTAATATAATAACTTATAATATATTAAACTAATAAAATAACAAACTAAACTTTTTAAAATATAAGTTAAACGTAAATTTTCCCTTAAACAACTAATAAACTATTATTTAATATAACTTTAACTATTCTTTAATATAACTTTAACTAATAAACTATTCTTTAATATAACTTAAACTAATAAATGATTTTTAATTATAATTTACTACTAAAAAAGTAATTAACTAAATTTTTTATATAATATAAATTCAACAAACAAATATAACTTAACTATTTAACTAACACAAACTAATTACATATTTTTTTATATATAACTAACGACTAACAAACTAACTAATTATTTTTATTAATATGTAACTATCAAACATATTAATTAAATAATTTTTTATTTATATATGATTTAACTTAAACTAATAATAATATAATTTAAACTAACAAACTCATTATCTAATTTTTTGTTTTACCCTAATTTATAATAATAAACTAATTAACTAATAATTTATAACAATAAACTAATTTAAATAATTATTCTTTTATATAACTTAAACTAATAAACTATTTTTTTATTATAATAAAACTTAAACTACTAATAAACTAATTAACTAATTTTTTATATAATATAAATTCAACAACCAAAATATATATAACTTAACTATTTAACTAACTACAAACTAATTAAATATTAGACTAACTAACACACTAATTAATTATTTTTTTAATATATAACCATCAAACAAACTAATTAAATAATTTTATATTTATGTATGATATAACTTAAATTAACAATAATAAAACTTAAACTAACAAACTAATTAACTAAAATTTTGTTTTACCTTAAACTAACTAACTAATTAACTAAAATTTTGTTTTACCTTAAGCCATAAACTAACAAACTAATAATTTAAAATAATAAACTAATTTAAATAATTAAAAAACTTACCTCGATGTTGTGCTATCCCTTTCTTCTTCTTCCTCTTTTCCCTTGCTCTCTTCTCCCTTTCTTTCTTTTATATTTCACTTATTAACCCCATCCAATATATAATACAACCACCCACCTCGTCTGCTTCAATTATTCACCCTCAAATTGTCATTCACGTGAGCTGAAGGACTGCAATAATGCAGCAATAAGTGCTGCAATAATGCAGCTGAATTCACGCTGCATGGGAGCAGAGGCGCAGCGAGAGCAGACCATAGGCATGCATGGTGACCTATCTCATGCCACGCATGGCCCATGCAAAGCACCAAAGCAGAGCTTGGAGCAGAGCAGCAGCTGGAATCACAACGTTGGTCGCCGGGCGTCCATGGCGACCTACAAGGTCGCTGGGAGTGCATGGCGACCTGTGTTGGCCATGTGTTGGGGACGTTCATGGCACATGCAGACGTTTAAAACGTCCATTATCTGTGTGCAGCTCGCCGGGAAGCCATGGCGACGTAGTAGGTCGCCCGGAAGGCATGGCGACCTACGGCCAACTGTGGATTTCACCCTATTTCAGCAAATAATATGGGGAGTGCATTATCTCGTAAATTATTTATTTTGAAAGCATTATACCGTGAGTTTTGCCCTCCAGATGGATCATAGTCCAACTGGAAAATCAACTCTTCAACCTATCAATAAACAAATAAGGCATTGTAGAACCTTTCTATATACATTATACTCTCTCTTTCAAGTCATGATATGATATTATGCTAAGGGCAAAACTCAAAAGGCTCCATTCTCTAGACCATGGGTCATCAACCTGTTCTAGAGCTTATACTGCAGCCAATTCTGTGAAGTCAGAATTTCTTCTCCATGATTGCCTCGAAGCATATTTAATGAAGCTGACCTTGAAATATTTATCCATATGCGGAAAGAGCGGAAGCAGCAAGACCAGATTGTGTGCACCAGCTTCTCGAATAACCGTTGTAGGATCTTCTACTAGTTGTTGCACAATAGATAAAATAAGAGAATCACGAATCTCAGGTCGGACAAATTCAGCATGCTCTCCAAATGATTGAGCAACCAGCAATCTGCGCTCCTCATTCATGTGATTTATCTGAATTTAGGAAACCAGAAAGGAAAAGACCGATATCAGGCTATGGCAGATATAACTGAGAAAAACAATAAAAAAGCAGTACAGAAACTCACTTGTTCCCAGCACTGGGGGAGTAATTCTGTTTCTGTTCTCATCTCACCGACATTTTTAGCAAGGCTAACACATGCATTGAACGAGCAGAAGGGATTTAGTACCATAACAAAACTTAGCTATTGGATACTGTAGACACCCATTTTTGTCCGGGCCTTTTTTAAATTATTATTATTAATTATTATTTTTATATTTATATTATTATTTTATTAATATTATATTTTTACATATTTTGGCAGGCCAAAGCCCATTACAACCGGCCCAAACAGTTGACCCAACATTGCTAGGGTTTCACCCTATCTCCCCAGCCGCCTCCAACATCTACCGTCAGATCTGGAGGATAATGAACGGCCCAGGTCGCCCCAGGTTAGGGTTTTAAACCCTAAAAATATCAAAGCCACCGCCGCTTGGTCTCCCAGCCGCCGCAGCTTGACTTTTCAGCTTCCACCGACATATCAGCCATCGCTTGAGCCGAGTTTCCCCTCGCCGACGCCGAGCATTCCTTGAGCAGTACCAACAGTGACAGAGGTCATCAATCAAAACAAATCACAGTAAAAAAATATATAAAAAATGGGAACAAATCTCATCAAATCCAAGAGTTATCAGCATTAATATAGGGATATCATTCCCTACGAACTCAGCCATCCATCAGTCACCAATCACAAAGATCAACATAAAAGAAAAGAGAAAGAGATGATGAGGGGACCATTGGGGTTTCCAGAAAAGAGGAGTGAAAAAAAAAAAGAAAAAAAGAAACAAAAACCACAACCGAAAAAATAAGAGAGTGGAGAGATTTACCTAGGTTCGAAGCCGGGGAGCCCCAAAGTCACCGTGGAATCCGAGAGGTCGTCAGAGTCTCGGTGTTTCGAAGGTAATCTATCCTAAATCTAAAGGTTTAGGTTTGGTTTTAGGCTAGGTGGGGTTGTTTTTCGGGTTGGGGTTGAGTGAGGGAGTCTTTTGGGACCTTTTTTTATCCGGCCACCATGGGCTCCGCCGTGGCCACCACCGGTGTAGGGCGGTTGTTCCTTCCCTGATGAGGGAAGGGCGAGAGAGTTCTCTGCTCTCTCTCTCTCTCCCTATTTTGTTGAGATGAGCCAAATGAGAAATGGGGAAGGAAATAAGCCGGTTTTGGGCTTATATCTCCAAACCGAAACGACGACTTTTAACAGGGGGGAGGAATTCCGTGTTTTCGTGATATGGGTAAACTACTCTGTAGGTCCTTGAGCTTTGTAATCTCACGATTTAGCCATTGAATGAAGTTTCATTTTATTTGACTTTGAGCCTTTATCTTTTCACTGTTACATATTAGTCACTATCCATGCTTTATGGCATTTTTGTCTATATTTGATAATGGTTTTAATAAATTAAAAATATTTCAATTTAATCACTGATTCCATGTATTTTATATTATTTGCGTTATTAGAATTTGGTCACCATATTTGTAATAATTTTATTTTAGTCACTTATCTTACATGTTTCTGTGATTGCTTGAATATGATCATGATATTTTTAATTCTTCCATTTTAGTCACTGTGCTAGTGTATTGTTCATTTTCATTGACATCCTAATTTGGCCATGACATTTGTAAAGTCTTTATTTTAGTCACTGTTAGTATTTGGTTTAATTTCTATTTGGCCCTTTAAGTTTCTGTTTTTCCATTTTAGTCCTCTAACTTTCTGTTTTAGCTTTTTAGTTCTTTATGTTTCTGTTTTTATTATTTTGGTCCTGTAACTTTTTTTATTTATTTACTATTCAGTCCTTTGAATTTCTGTTAATCATATTTTAATCCCTTAATTACTTATTTTTTGTATCTTATTTTGGTTTGTAATGTTATTTATTTTTTATTTTTAGTCATTTATGTATGGATGTGTATTTTACTCATTAGTTAATTATTTGTATTGTGTAAATAATGTGTTTAATTTAATTTAATGTAAATCTTTGTATTTCTAATTACATTTATTTTCATTATATTTTTATATATGTATGAAATATTCGATTATATTTTCAAGAACACGTATGCGTAGATTGGGCGTGGAAAGTACTACTTGGTCGAAGTGGTACGATCCGATACGGCATTTTAACGACATAGGAACTTACAACAAGTCGAGTATATTTTACTAATTAATTTATTAAAATGATGCAATGTGTGGTATTTTAAGTGACACTCACTTTATTTTGTGTGAATGTAAATTTTAAATTTTCATTTTGTATTCGATTCACGTTTTTAAATATTAATTAGGAGGGAATATTCTTTAACTGATAAGAAATATTTGAGTTAGCTTTCCCGATGGAGGATTACTAATTTTGATATTTCTTTTCGAGTTAAAGAATTTTCTCTAGTTATTTAATTCGAAGCAAATTAATCAATGTTCGATAAATAGATCATTTTTAACTTTATATACGATTTATAATTTCCATCATTTACGATGGTGTGTAAGCGACACAGTACCAATTTTGGGCGTTGTAGGGGTGTTTATCCTTCCCCACACGTAACCGACTCCCGAACATGTTTTAAATGAATCTTTGGTAACGTAGATCAAATTTTTGTCTTATAAAACTATTTTTCTTAAAATTGTTTTTAAAAGACGTTTTTAGGTATTCGACCTACCTAACCCAAAGGTCGATGGCGACTCATTTTTAATTTAATTTTAATTAATCCATAATCACCAATTTTTTTTTTAATTAAAGTCATAATCGTTTTTAAAATAATATTTAATTGTTTTACAAAAAAAATGGTTATAACAGCTTGGCGACTCCGCTGGGGACCTTTTTTAGAGAGTCAAGCTGTAGGTCGCTTACACATTGTCGTCTTAGTGGAAATTATAAGTTTGAGTACATAGTTAACTTATGATCCGTTTATTGAAATTTTTAATTGCTTCGTTTTTTGTCATACTAACATTTATTTTTGGCTTTCAGCTTTGGCAAGATTTTATCATTTTTTTTCCTTGTTTTGTTTTCCTTTTGGGTCGAAGGTAGGTATGTTCCTCCTCACATACATCACTCGCATTAGCATAACATAAGCTCTAGACACGAGCTTCGATCCAAATTAGTCGGGGTGAATGCTTTACTCTCGTAAGAATTTATTCTTCGTATGAGTTTTAACAAATAACCCATGGGATACATAACTTATACCTTCGTAGGGATTTATTCCTCGTACGAGTATAAGGTAATGAATCCCCTCGAATTGAACTCGTTCCGTTCGAAACCTGTAATGGGTGAGGATAGAGGGTTTGGCAGCCCAATGGGGCACCGACATCAAGGACAATTCGAGTCCCTTTTTCCCGTTAGAGCCAAAACCATGCATATAGTGAACTGTAGAACGGTCACCCTAGGTATAGCTATATCGAACCTATGTCCGTCAGTAGGTACCCAAACTAAGTGTACACCAAGGAGGAGCGTTTCTAAACCCTTATCTTTTGCTAAGTTCGTAGAATTTATTTTCTTTTTGAATAAAAGTATGCGAACTAGATATCATGCGGTTAGGACTAATTTCTTGAAAATAGATAATTGTGGGTAGAAAGCATGTCCGGGTAGGATTGCTATCTATTGAAGGCATGTTCGGGTAGATATCATGATGGGGTAGGTGTTATATTTATCTCTGAATAACATTTTTATCCGTATCAATTATTTTACATGTACTAACTAATTTCTTTTCTTTTATTTGCGTGCACTAACTTATCTATTTTATGCTGTTTGTGTCTTTTTTCATTCTTCTCTGCATTGCATCATCATAACATAATGCGAAAATGTTGATCAGCAAGGGGATATTCGAGAGAAAATTTTCACAAGAAGAGATGAAAGTTTTCAATCAAGTAGTCGCATATACAGACATGCATTGAGGGCTAAAAGAAGTCCAGAATACAAGAATAAGACTCGCTCGAAGATAGTGCAGCATCCGAGACTGAAATGATGATCAATTGAGCCAAAGAATACTCCAGTAGTAGATTTTCATTTACAATCATTTCATCTCTAGTCATCAAGGATTGACGCACTGACTTCCGCATCGTCGGGGCATTAACGGAGTCATATTACAGAAACGCTTGAGGGGCATCGTTTTCGAAGACGAAGATCCGAGACGAAGCAGCGATCTATTTCAGACTCAGCATCTAAGCGAATGCATGTCTGTAAAGTGGATTGTCTTGTGATGTGAAGGCTTTCATCACTGGTGAAAATTATTCTAAGATATTCATCGTTGGGATCAACATTTATGCATTTGCATTTGCATCATTTCATTTTGCACAACATTCATTTAAGCAGGTTTACATGCATTAATCGTACCTTGCTGGAAACTTTGAGGAAGCACTTCTAACTATGCAATTGCATTCACACAGTACTGAGAATGGATGCAAAATTTGAGGAATTAAAGAAAGAGTTGAACGAGAGTTTGCAAAAGATGCAAGTTGAGTGGGAGGTTAAAATGGAGCAGATGCAAAAGACCACTGTGGATCGTATCCTGCAAAACCAAAAAGACCTAGTTGGCCAAATGGTAACAAAAATGGCTGAGCTCAACCAAGGAAGAAGCAAAGAGAAGATTTCCTCGACCGGAGGAACCTCCGAATGTGTGATAGCCCACGCTAGTCCCCAAATAATTATTTCACCCCATAAGCTTCCAAGCCGCCAAATGAAAAGAGTCAATAACGAGATCCCGGAGAATCTGAAACAGTGGTGCAGAAAGACATTCCAGGGAATGAGAGGACAAAACTCTCACAACGGGATGGATGCAATAGAACTAGTGCTAGTTCCTGACCTGGTGCTCCCGCCCAAATTCAAGATGCCTGAGTTTGAAAAGTACGATGGAACCAGTTGCCCTAATGTCCATCTCACGATGTTTATTCGAAGGATGACTGGATACACTAAAAATGATCGGATGTTGATCCACTGCTTCCAAAACAGTCTGACTGGACCTGCTTCTAGGTGGTATAACCAACTGAGTCGTGCTCAAGTCCGCTCTTGGAAAGATTTGGCTAGTACCTTTCTGAACCAATACAAGCACATGATTGATATGATCCCTGATCGAATAATGCTGCAGAATATGGAGATGAGGAGTGATGAGAGTTTCCGACAATATGCTCAACGA